TGATCCCCAAATTTTGGCAAGTTCCAGAGCCACCAAGAGTATAAGATTGGATAAACAGAGTGGAAAACATCTATAGGATGGAGGCGTTATATCATATTGAGGTGGATACATTAGATAAATTTAGGAAACCATGTAGTTGGTTAAATTTTAAGACATCTAAAAAGTATCTGGAATTAGTTGTATTCTAGGTGGAATACATCAGAGGAAGTCTAAAAGATCCCGAAAGAAAGAAAAGGATGTAGGAAGGAGGGGTATAGATATGGATAGAGAATCATGAGGGAGGATAAAACGGAAGTAAGAGGATGTGGACAGGGGTATGAGGAGGGTGGACAGAAGTATGAGGAGGGTGGGAGGGTAGGGTAGGGGAAATGTGTTGCAAAGGAAACTTATGTATTATTGATGTACTTGTGATTTGTACTTTCGTCTTCTTTTATGTATGAGATGTACTTTTTTGTATCAGAAAACTTAAATAAATAATATTTAAAAAAAATAGGAAAAAAAGAAGGCTGGGCTTTGACTAAGGCAGTCTAAGAAAAAAAAAAAAACAACGGAGGTTTTTGGTTTTAAGCCCCTCCTGCAAAGCCTTGCTGTGTGTTATTTGTGAAAACAGGCAGACTTTGACCTCAGCCTCAAGTCTCTTGCACACCGAAAAAGGCTTTTCAACATAATTTACAGAATTTGGTTCAGTTTATCTTGCAGAGAAACAGCAGAGAATCAGGTGATCAATCAGGTCTGTGGACCAATATTACTGCAATTCATTCTTTGTAATGCCCACGTTGAGGGTTAGGCCCAAAAAGTTTTACATTCGGAAACTGTGATAGGTTTCCACGCAAAATGTCAGGCAAGAGCTGAATTTGGTTGTGTGTATAAATTGCTTTCCCCCCCACAATCAATTGAAACAACTCTTCCGTGAAAAACAGTGAAGGGGCTAAATACCAGTGCTGGCAGCAATCGGGACTGATCATGCTAACACTACAGTTTTGGGGACACTAGTTTAGTTCTGTTCGTGATCAATTAATTGATCCGCACAAACACTATACTAGTAATAGGGGTGATCAGTGATCTATAGCGAGAGTGCGATAGTGTTCGGACGATCCCACACTAGCTGACGCTATCTGATGTCGCTAGTATCAGAAATGCAGTGATCAGTGAAAAATTCTATATACCAACACTGTACTAATGGCACTGGCTGGGTGGTAAGGTGATCAAAGGGTTAAATGTGCTAATCTACCGTGTGTGTAAAATGTAGTGCTTTTACACACAGTGTGGTGTTCTCTCTTCTCTCCCTGAACCTAAAGGGGGGCAGCAGGGGGAGCACACATGCATGCTCACACCTGGAAAAAGAATGTGATGTAAGGGTATGGTGTTTTGCCCAGAGGTGCGGTTTGCCTGCACATTGCAGGCAAGTGGTCGGAAAGTAGCGACAAAAAAGAAATCCTCGATATTTTATTTACTGTATTTTAACATTTTTTATTATAATGCTTGCTTTGAACTGTTATGAATGGGTTAAGTTCATAACAGTTCAAAATAATACTGATCTGTGAATGACTACAGCTGACTACATGGTACAGGGTGCTGCGATTGGCCCATGTACCATGAGAGCTGTGGGCCAATCACAGCTCACTAGGAAGGGAAGCAAAGCTATTATGAATCAGATTCATAACAGCTTTGCTAACATTGTGATCATGTGATCGCATAATGATCACATGTACCGGGATCCGCACTCCACTGTGTTCGCCCCTTATGTTGGTACAGCCAGGGAAACATACTGGTACGTCGCTCTGCCTGTAGCTGCGTCCCGTTTGCAGTACATTGTGAGCGGGCAGGAAGTGGTTAAAGCCAAAAATTTCTACAGAACTGAGAACTTTAGTCCATCACATTTTTCAGGCAAGCTATAGATTAGATACCATTTTTTTATTTTCATTTTTTCATTATGGCCAGTTTTGTGTAGCACTTGGAATACAGTTTTCTCTGCAGCTTCTTCAGGGTTAACCATTCTTTGTTCAGTTGCTTCTCTAACAAATGCCAACATAACCTAATCAGTTTTGGTAGATGGTATTCTTTAGTGTAGTTGTACCATGTGTTTTAAAAAGTAATTTTAAAAAATTAATTTATCTGGGTTCCAAAAAAAAAAAAAATTTTTTTTTTTTTTTTAATTGTAACTTAATTGGTGCTTTTATACTTTTTTTTCCAACGCATTATTCTGTTTACGTAGAAATGTTTTTTTAAAAAAAAAAAAATTCTAGGACCCATACCAATCAGACCCAAAAGTAAGCTCTGGGGAAAATGCTTGATTTAAAGTAGTTCAAAGGCTCAAGGTTTTTTACCTTAATACATGAGGGAGTGGCCAGGAGCGTGGGGGGAGGGGACCTAAGAAGAGGAGGATCAGGGCTGCTCTGTGCAAATCCACTGCACACAACAGGTAAGTATAGACATGTTTGTTATTTTAAAAAAATAAATAAAAATAAGCCTTTATAATCACTTTAATGATTTTACATGAATCTGTAGACATACTGCTATGAGTTTCATGAACTGACTGTGACCAAGTTTTGGCAACTGCATCTGTAACCATTATTGACACCCATGCTTTCAACCATGATGTCTGTGGGGAAAGCAGTGGAGAAAGAGTGGGTACTGCAGTCAAAGCTGCTTTTTTAAATTTTGACTCACGCTGACCAAAAGCATTCAAGTTAGCAACAACTGAAGCTGAACAATCTCTTATGCACACACTGTATAAGGGAGTACCTAAATGTTTTCCTGTAAAGTTTTAAGCAGATCTTGAAGGAACCCAAAAGTGTTATAAGAACTGAAGGGATGCTTTATAAATTTGCCCAGAGATATCCTTTAAACATTTAAACTAAACAGTAATTTAAATAAAATTACGTAAAACCAAGGATTTAAAACGGCACTGAGTTTAAGCCACTGCTGTAACCAGTGGACGAAATTTGATTTTGCAATAAATAAATAAATACATATACACACACACACATACACATACAGTGTATATGCACACACAGTTTTATTAAAGTGTTTCTACCTGTGAATACAATTTTTAGACTCCAAGTATGCCATGCCAGAAGCAGCATCCAATGCAAATTTCACTAATTGTTTAGTTTTCATGTCATCCTTCTTCTTCCTTAAAAATGACAGAAAATCACCACCTAGATAAAAAGACAGATGGACAGTCAGAATCCAAAAAAATGGGACTTTAATGAGTTTACACTTAGCAACTTAAATAGACTGACAGAGGCAAAGAGTACAGTTAAAGACAAGAAAATAACTTCATAAAATAACCCTGAAATGTGTGTCTCATTTTAAAAAGCAACTATTCCAAACTGTCCTTGATGAGTTCTCAAAAATAAACTACTTTGTAGTTGGTGTACTGCTAAAACCTACAAATTACTACCCATACAAATTGTTCTAAAGACATGTCCACAGATCACTCTGACTTCAAAAACAAAGGATAAGTTCACCTTTGGGAACAGGTTACATGTTCTACCTGTTTTTAGGGTGGAACATGTAACATGTTCACGATCCTGCAGCCGCCGCCCACTGCCCCCCTTCCCCTCCCTGTGACAGAAGTATGGGGAGAAGTTCCCCGTACTACCTATCAATTTACAAAAACAGCAAAGACATGCGGGGCAATACTCACACGGCCACATCATTGATTCAGTGTTCTGGGAATAAATGGACTAAAAGTCCCAACAGCCTTAGCAGCTGTCAGCTTGTAGTCCTCAATGCATTATTAAGGCGCTGTGGAGCGTTGTGGTAGTTAATTGATTGCCTTGCCCGTAGGGGACGTACGAGTAAGCAAACACACTGGCAGTGTGCAGGAGACTTGCATGGCCTGCATTTATTATTTTTTATGGAAAGGTGAGCTTATCCTTTAATATTTAATGACCTAAAGACCATTAATTAAAAAGTGTGGTAGTTAAAAACAAAGTGCAATGTAAAATTAAACATTGTGTCTAGCATATGACACCAAAAATCTTGTGATTTTCCTCACACTACTGTATTGCTCTACATAAGCACAAAATAAACTAAGTACAACATGGGTCTTCAAACTGCTTCATGGGATAAATAGGCTCCATTCACAAAGCCGTATCCTACTGTATCAGAGTATTTTTCAAATGTAAAAAAAAAAATCAGTAAAAAAAAAAAAAACGCTACTAAAATACTGCACGAGTTATTTTATGAAGTCCTGTGGTATTTTAGTAGTGAAAACATGCGGTAATTTAACATCAGCGGTAGCTGGCCTATTTACAGTAGTAAATACCGCGATAAGAAGCAGGTGGCCGCCCATGTCCTTAACAACCAGTAACTGTCATGGTTGTTAAGGAGCGGGCAGCCACTGTGTCCTTCAAAAACGATCAGTCATCAACCTAAAAGTCTAGTCTGGCATGGATTTGGAGGGGACCTCACAGCTTTTTTTTTTAAGCTTTGGGTTGCCCTTACAATCCATGCCAGACTCAAAGGGACCCTATGCTGTTTGTTTCTGTAATTTTTATTTGCCGGCTCCTTAACCACTTGCCCTCCAGAGGCTTTACCCCCCTTCCTGACCAGGGCATTTTTTGTGCTATGGTGCTGCATTACTTTAACGGACAATTGCACAATCATGCAATGCTGTACATACATGTAATGTATGTCCTTTTTCCCACAAATAGAGCTTTCTTTCAGTGGTATGTGATAACCCAAGAAATTTTTTAATTTATGCGCTATAAACAAAAAAAGATCGTCAATTTAGAAAAATATATATTTTTTATGTTTTGCTATAAAACATATCCAGTAAAAAAAAAAAAAACGTAAAAATCTAATTTCGTCATAAATTTAGGCCAAAATCTATTCTGCTACATGTCTTTGCTAAACCCCCCCCCCCCCCAAAAAAAACCCAATAGATGTAAATTAATTGGTTTACGTGAAAGTTATAGCATCTACAAATGGCGGTATATATAGTGTATTTTATATTTATTTTTATACTAGTAATAGCGGCGATCAGCGTCTTATAGCGGGACTGCGGGGGACATTCTGACACTGGGTGAGAACTAACTGCCACTGACATCCCAATGACACTAATTCAGTGATCAGCACTAATAAAAAGCACTGACACTGTACTAATGACACTGGGCAGGAAGGGGTTAACAACGGGGGTGATCAAAGGGTTAACTGTGTGTTGTTTTACACTGCTCTGTGGGGTTTTACTAGGAAGATATGCTATTTTGTATTTCTCTGTTGTGCAGATATACAAAGCAGCATAATCTTGCTGGCAGGAGAGAGACCTGTGTTTACACACAGGTCTCTCCCCTGTCAGCTTTGCCTGACGATCGCTGGGTGCCAGTGGGGAATCTCCGGCTGTAGCCTGGTGATTGACATCCCTATATAGAGACCTGTGTTTACACACAGGTCTCTCCCCTGTCAGCTTTGCCTGACGATCGCTTCTATAAGATATATATATATATATATATATATATACATATACACACACATACATATACACACACATATATATATATATATATATATATATATATATATATATATATACACACACACACACACACGTGATTTTGTGCAGCCCTGCCGCCCTGTAGCAGTACTTCTATAGAGCAGCAGGCAAACAGTTAATAACCACGTTGTTTTCTGGTTAAGGATGCCGGCAGCTGCCAGCTCCTGAACTATAGCATGCCTGGACCACTATTTATTTACCGCATGCATTTATTTCCTTTAGTGAACTGGCTGTTCTGTGCGATTCTCACCAAGCGTTTTTGCTTTATGCGGTGAATACCGCATAAAGCAATGGTGAATTGACATTTTCATGGATCACATGTGGTATTTGGGAAAACACCTAAATATTGCATGTGATCTGATATTGTGAATGGAGTCCATTGTCTTTAGCCTAATTCAAATTTGCTCTCCTTTGATATAAAATGGGACTTGAGACGCTATACACTTGTCCTAGTTTTTAAACATTTCTGCTATGGTGAAGTATGTTTGTTTCTGAAATACCACTGAAGTAATTTTATTAAGGCAAGCTGCAAGAGATGACACAGGATGATACTTAAAGACATTCTACTCTACACCTTAAATCCTGATGAAACAAAACTCCATGAAGACAACTTGCTTGCCTGTATCCTAGATGTAGTAAAAGTGACTAATGTGTGATACTATTTCTGGTTGCTTGAAAGTTAAGGAAAGTTACCAAAGCATGCAAAACATTCTATTCTGGTGCACAGCATGCAAAGTTCCACCAATTAATGGTAATATTGAACCTGGTGATACCACGTGAGAGACTTATTCACAGCCTACCTACATAGAAAGGCCCAAAATCTAGGGAGCCCCTTCAGGATTTCTAGGGGCATAAATTACTCATCTAATTTCCTGACTGGCCTATCACACTTTTGGAGGCCCTGGAGCACAACAACAGTGGAAAAACCCACATATGACCACATTTTGGAAAGCAAACACCCCAAAGTATTTTCTAAAAGACAGTCTTTTGGGAATATTTTTTGCCACAAGTTTTTGTAAGATGCAGAAAGAAAATGAAAATGTACTTTTTTACACAACGTTGTTAATAAGCTACTTCAAACACACAGCATAGGTATACTAAGAATTACACTCCAAAATACATTCAGCTACACCTCCAAAGTATGGCGATGCCACATGTGAGACTTTTCAATGTTTGGACTGATTACATATCCATGTATGTAACACACAACATTGCATCTTGTGTATCACAAAAAACAACCAACATTGTAAGGAAAACACCGTACTACGATGGTCACGTTTGTACAAGTGGTCAGGGAATATAAGTTAGTGTAGCTTCACTTACAGCAGTCCCTGTTCCTAAAAGCCAAGTTGGCCTAACCTACATGGCTGCCCCATAGCACAGTGCTATGCTGGCTGGCCAGGAAGTACAGGAGGCTGAACAAAGTCTGAACAGAAGAGTACCTGTGGTTCCAGTAGTCCACTTGCCCACCAAGGATGGGTGAGACTGGTGCCTCAAACGAACATGGTCAGTGGGACATGCACATAGGTCAGTACTGGTGGCAGGCAGAGACAAGGTCTCCAAACTGGCAAAGGATTGCTCCATGCACATAGTAAAAACATAGTCAATAAAGAGCCCAGGGTAAATACAGCCAGAGACCTGGTCAGAAAATATCCAAAGAATTGGTCCAGGCGGCAGGCAACAAAGCAGTTCATTAACCTCCCTAGCGGTCTGATTATGTCAGTATTTCTGTGCTCAAAGCGGTACATTTTTTTGCATGGAAATATGTTGTTTTTTTATTGTAGGCCTGTCATTTTTAGGAATACCTCAATGAAATCTGTCCGAACAAGAGTCTAGTAAACATCCCGAGTATGATAAAATTTGAAACAGGAAATCATAAATTCTAATTTAAAAAATAATCATACAAAAATAATATAATAAATTTAATTCAATAATGTATTCAACCCCAAAACACTGAAATTTGAAATAGAGCGCCAAGTTAGCACATTACTGAGCAAAGTCGCAAAATCATTTTCAGTGTCTGATGACGAATTTCCCCAAGAATCATTAACACTCAATTCTGCAAGTGGTTCTAATTTACTATCGCTGTTCTCTAGCTGGTCTAAAACCGCTTTTGACCTAAAGGGACGCTTTTTGGACACCATGGACATTTCTCAGTTTCCAGGCAGAAAGAACAGTAAAAAATGCAGGCAGGGCACAGGACAAAGCACTAGGGACAAAATGTATGTGAAATGCTTTGATACAGTAATGTTATACTGTGTGATTTTAGTGTATTTAGTGAATGTCACTTTTTGACATTTTTAAATTTCCCGCCCGTTATTTCCCCTGTACGTCCCGTCGTCGCAGGGAACGGAACCCGGAAGACAGATGCCGGCATCGACCAGAGGAGATGGCCGGGGACGCTGCAGGGTGGACATCGCGGGAGCGAAGGACAAGTTAAGTGCAGAAGAGATCCCGGAGAAACACTGCAGGGTATTTCCGAGTGTAGCTCAGCGTTACCGCTTGCGGTGCTGAAACTTTACCCCGAGATACACTCGGGAACACCTCCAGGGAGGTTAACAGGCCAGGGTTAGTTCAAGCAGCAGAGATGTGGGCAGCATGCAAAAAAGGACCAGTCCAGGTGGCAGCAGAAACATGGTTGATAAACAGGCCAGGTTAAGTTCAGGTGGAAGGCACAGATGTAGGCAGAAACATGGTCAATTAACAAGCCAAGGTCAGTAAGGCAGCAGTCAGAGATGTGGTCATCATGCATGCAAATGATCAATCCAGGCTGCAGGCAAAAACAAGGTTGATTAACAGACCAGGGAGAGTTCAGGCAGAAGTTAGAAATGTGGTCAATATGCAGGCAAACAGTTGGTCCAGGTAGCAAGCAGAAACATTGTTGAGGAACAGGCAAATGATTGATGCACAGAGTATCAGATACAGGCAAAAGGCAGGTAGTCAGACATAAAAGAAACACCTTCACTTATACTGTAGCGAGGTATGAAAGCATGGAAGCAGTCTTTTATGCAGGGGTCAGGTTGTGAGGGACCGTCAGTACACTGACAACATGAGTCACACCTTATTCCATCTTTGGTGCATACATAATTTTTGGGGGGTCTTCGGCCTCTCAAGTCAAGAGATCATATCAGAAAAGTCTCTCTCATAGAGCCTGCTGACTGCATCAGAACAAAAGCTTTCAAGTGCACAACCTTCCTGGTAAATAAGGGCTGTTACAACCTCTTATTGATAATTTAGTGCCTGTGGCCTTGTAGATGAAGAAAGAGTTGTTTATGGCCATTTGGTATAGTTAGATGGAAATTTTTTTTTTTCTACCAGTGAACAAATTTCTCGGTTGCCAGGTAGTGCTTCACCATTTGATCTAAATTTACACCTCCCATGAATTGATTGTATTCACATATGCAAAAAGGTTTCTGCACCAGACCATGCCTTCCCTGAATTTACACTGAGGTTTCTTGGTGAATGGAAAAAAGGACAGACATCCTACTTATCCTTCCATTTAAGAACCAAAATGTCCTCACTGCGCAAACCTGCCGATTTCCCCCTATTTTCAACTTTGTGGTGACCAGTCTTTGTGGAATTTCCTTGCAATTTGGTTGCAGTGTACCAAAAGCTAAGGTTTGCTGCAGAAAAGGGTTTTGTAAAAGTAGCACACTGGTATAGAGATAGTCCACGTAAAAGGTGAACTCCCCGACGGAATAAGGGTGACATAAGCTCCCACACTATTTTTTTGCTGCTACCCACACAAGATGGGCATTCAGGGGGCTACCTTTTCATTTTTAAAAAATAGAACTCATATGTGTAACCCTGCAGCCCTCTCACAAAGTTTATTACTTTACCCTGTATCTGCATTTACCAGGGAGATTTCTTGGCACTCAGTCTGCCTGTAAAATGTTTGAGGGACTAATCAATAAAGATATTTTTATCAGGAATATACATTTTGGAAAATTATGGTCTAAGTTTGTAAAGCCTGTCGTAATCAGGGTGACTGTGGGGAGTACAACAGATATTGTCGTTAAAATGAAGGAATCTTGATTATTTTATAGTGTCCTGGTCATAACAGAGGAATACAATGTCATATGGTGAGTCATATAAGGCCAAGAAATTCATCAACTGTGATGGGATTCCAGTCAAATGGATGGACATAAATGAAAAAGGTATTACTGGTGATGTATTGCTGGGGAGGGGGAGTGTGAACGGTGTTGCTGAAGCAGAAGGTGTAATGGTCATGAGCATTGGGCCCATGAAAAGTTGTATGCAGCAGCCATGTTGTTCAGGATCCAAGTCCCCCCATGCCATTTTGACACAGGACGACGACATAGCTGCAGTGACCTTACCTCTCCCTTCCTTCAGTTTATACCATCACAAACTTTAGGCCGCCTACCAGAATATTCTTATCAGAACTTTGAGAGGACACAAGCAGACTCTCTCACGCCTATTACCTGAATCCACACTTCAGTCTAGATGCCCTCGTAAAACAAATTTGCAAGTTTGAGCAACCCAGAAAACAAACAGATATTTTGCCAGATCACACCCATCATCAATATCTTAGCTGGAGCCTTTAGCAATACAGATTTCGGTCTTGGTAGAATCAAGGTCATGGTATTCCATAATTCACTAAATAACAGTATAGTTAGGTTGAGGACATACTTACCTCCATCAGTTATTTTGTAACGTTTTAGGTCCACACACCCCTATCTTAGACAATGTGGGGAGCCAACGAAAAACATATTACCCCTCCTAGGTAAAGTAGACATCCAAATCCTGTCATATTTATAGCCACTCTAAAGGTAACTGCACGGTGGACCATAATCTACAAGTTATCAGACTGTATCATGTACGTATTCAAAAATATTAATA